TCTCTTTTATACCTCAACATAATTAACCTCTTGTACTGTTGGTGCAAGGCAACTGAAACTTACGATGTTACTGTATCGCTTTCACAAGTTTTTCATTTTGGTGTATGCTGAATCCAAGTAGACACTAGTCATTGAGGTAGCATCTGATCTAACTGTTTCCAATTTCAGGTTGCTGGTATTGTCTCTGTATCTCACAGTAATATCTATATTGTGCTGGTCGTTTGTTCCCTTCTTTCTAAAATTGATGATGCAGCTGTCGTCTCAGGTGATTCTCAAAAGTGCTTACGCGCTTGCACACACAAGCACATTCATCTGAGAACAATGAGCTTTATATTGATTTGAATTTTCTTTTCTTGTACTCCAGACAAATGAACTTTATCAGCTAGCTGCTGTGGCGTTCTGCTTACTATCAGCATGGGTGAGATAAATCCACCCTAATCAGTATTTTTTTTTTTTTTTGGCCAAGTTAGTTAGTGGCATTGACTGCTCATCTTTCTGCACTTTAATCTTTTATAATGAAGAAGAAAAAAATATCATTCCGCTTCATGTATTAGCCGATGTTTGTTTACCATTTCTATCACAAGTTTTTAGAAAACATTAAAGGTAAACATGTAGGTGAGCCTCGATAACTACTGAAGTATGAAAAGGCTGATAAGTTGAGGTCAACTGATGTCTCCATTTTGAGCAAGCAAATAACTGCAGCATCATATTATTTTTGTGACGGAAACTTCTGAAATCTTGAAGGAGTCAAATATCATTTTTATGTTTTGAAATGTCTTTCAGTGCAGTGACAAGCTTGGCCTTAGCCTTGAGCTGGGTTCATTTGTCGCTGGTGTCATGATTTCTACAACAGACTTTGCACAGCATACCTTGGACCAGGTACACTTTGGTTGATTTGCTGACTTTATTTTAAGGAATGCTTTGGTTGTGTTATAAAAAGGTTACATCTGACAAAATGCATAAATTTATTGTAGGTGGAACCAATTCGTAACCTGTTTGCAGCTCTCTTCCTCTCAAGTATTGGAATGCTTATCCATGTACATTTCCTATGGAACCATGTAGATATCTTGCTGGCATCTGTTATCCTTGTTATAGTTGTTAAGACTGCTGTTGCTGCTGTTGTTACTAAAGCCTTTGGTTATAGTGTTCGGACATCATTTCTGGTAAGTTACAACTTTTTGGAAGATAGTTTGTTCACTAACATATTTTCATTATTGAATGGCTGTTTTCATGACAATTTAGGTTGGGATTTCACTTGCTCAGATCGGAGAGTTTGCTTTTGTTCTCCTCAGCCGTGCTTCAAATCTTCATCTCGTTGAGGTTCTTCTCTCATCTAGTCTTACTGTTTTACATACAGACTCTCATGCTGCTTAGCTCCTGACACTTCTATCGATGGAAATTGTTGTTAATCTTCAGTGCATGCTTTGTTTCTGCAGTGTTACACATCGCAACATGCAAGATATACGTTAATTAATATATATGTTTCCAATAAGTCAATTAAGATTGATGGGAACTGCCCCGTCAACCTGTTCTGACGAGTGATGAGTGTTGCCCATAGTCAGTAGAGATCAATTAGGTATGAAACATCTGTAGGAACATGAGCAGTCATTCTTACTTGGCTGCAAGCTATGAAAGAGTGTAATCTGAGTCTGTGAAGGATGGCCAATTTAGAAATGTTGTGATTGTGGTCATCCCACAGAAGAGAGTGCGCAACTAGTGAGTTGATTGATGGTATAACTTAGTAGATGACTAGATGGGCAAGTGTCAGTGCTCTGAGATAAGCTGGTTCATTTAGGAATATATATGTGTTCTTGTGAGCATGAAAGACATTTGCCGTTACTTATAATATCTTGCGTAAATCATGCTTCTGTCGTTATTGGATGCGTTGCCTTTTCCATTCTTCATGCTGTCATTCAGAAGCATTTTCATATTTACTTTTGCTAATTAATTGCACCTTTCTCCATAGGGGAAAATGTATCTTCTACTGCTTGGGACGACAGCTCTTAGTCTGGTAAGTTTCATTGCCCTTCAACTACAAGACACCTGGTTTTTTCATAATGTTTTACTTTATTGGAAATTTGAAATATTAACCTGATAACTACTGATTTCCAGGTTACAACCCCTCTATTGTTCAAATTGATACCTGCTGTCATGAATCTGGGTGTACTAATGCACTGGTTCCCCCCAGAGAGTAATGCACGAACAAGTGCACAGAGTGAGGTAATATGTCCTTGACATGTATATGAGCAGATAATTACTTTCACTCGTGAATTGGCAGGTAGCCAGTGAATTTTAGTTTTTTTCTAGACTTCACATACCATGACTTTTTTTCTTTCCCCTTCTTTCTGCACGGATCCAATGTGCCATAACTTAAGAGGCGTGACCTTTTTGCTCTTTTTAATTTTAATTCATTTTAAAGATTAAATGTTCAATCCTTGATTAGATCCTGCTATGTTTTTTTTTTTCCTTTCCTTGGGTTACATAAGATGCCCATGGCCTGGAAAGGAGAGTTAGGAAAGGATAGCATAGGAGAAGGGATGATCCCAGGGCATACATTTCACTGACTTCTTGGTTCTTGCTGTGTTCTATATCCGTGAAGATGTTTGTTGAAAGCTGCTAGTTCTGCAATTACTTGAAATTTATGCTCCTCTCTCTTTCTAATCTGATTTATTACATGTTTTCCCATTTTTTTGGACATAGATTTATTAAATTTATAGAATTAGCTTGTGCAGCATGTACATGTCTTCTAATTTGTCATTGACATGTGTTGTCCCAGCTTCATTTGCTATGATTTATGAACCTAGGCATCCTTGGGGCCATGCCTACAGCAACAGTGGAACAACCAAGGATGCTTTGCTTGTACAACTACTTAAAGATGGGTGTTATATAACCACTCTCTCTATCTCTTGTTCTAACAGGAGAAAGCTTCCATGATTGAAGTGAAAGGAACGTTGTGACTCACCCAAGTCCCTATCCAATTCAGAGTTCAGATGAAAAAGTCTACACATTCACTGCTAATCAATCTCACTGGAAAATCTTATGTGAATGAGCATAGAATTTTTTTTGTATTCTTTGGATAGTGTATATAAGAAAAGAAATTATAGGCTATTTTCTTGTTTTGTTCATTTCATTCACGTACGCTCGTTAGCTATTTTCTTCCATGTAATGGCTTGGCTTCGTATTACATGATTGACTGAGTCTTAGAAAATTCACTCCGGATTGTTGCCCGCCCCACCCCCCCCCCCCAAAAAAAAAGCAGAAGAAAAGAAAACTCACTCTGGATGTGTTCTAAGTTTAGTCCATTATTACCATCAATTTAATTTTTACTTTATTGGACAGTATTTCGGGTTTGTCTCACTCAAAATAGCTTTTTCTTTTTTTGGCGTCATATTACAATGAACTTTGGGAGCAGCAAAATTAAAATCTAAATTAATTAGCAGAGTTCTGAAAAATGGTTTGAATTAGACAATGATATGTTGATCATTAATGTAATAAAGTCTGATACCCTGTCTATAATCATGCTACTATGCAAGTAACTTTATTAAAAAAATAGGTCATGCAAAAACTATAAATGAAATTGGCTGGCTTTGAAAAATTTCAAATGAGTTTGGTCTAACTTTATTTGTCATTTATTATGTTATTCAAGTATTTTGATGATAAGCTGCCCTTTTCAGAAATAAATGTCAAAACTTAATTGCAATAAAATATTAGAAGAATCAGTTGTGATTAGTTGCATTACCCTCACCCATAACAGGAGCTTAGTAGAGCCATTGATTCTACTTTCTGATTTCTGATTCGGTGAGTCGGTGACAGCGAATTTGAACTCGAGTTCTGGTGTTTTTTTTTTTAATACCAGAAATTTTGTTAAGAATATGTAAGTATATAAAACTAACAAATATATTAATATGTACTTTGGATAATAAAACTTAAATCATCAATTAGATATATAATGAAATTTGAATTATAATTTTATGAATTGTATACTTTTTTTTGGCCAAAAAAAGTAAATTTTATTGATTATCAAAAAAATTACACTCACTAATCAAGAAAGTAATAAAAGCAACCTATACAAACAAACTAGCAAAAAGTAAAAGAAAGCAATTAAACTTATGGTACAACCTAAACCAAAAGAAAATAAAAACACAAGACCAAAAAAGAACAAGCCAAACAAAGATTTTAACCAATGCCTTCCTTGTGGAACTCATTATATGATGAATTGTATGATGAAACAAAGATTTCAACCAATGAATTGTATGATGAAACAAAGGATATTATTCGTTACTTACAAGCAGTAAAATTATACACATTGAGTTATTGACTTTCGTTTTTCTTTAAAGAAAAAAAGTCATTGACATAGATTCTTTTGAGCCGACCAGTCACACCTCCGGCCTCCCTTTATACTATCTATGGATATAATGATACATGTATAATCGTCTTAAATTATAAAATATTTTTAAATAAAATTTTATATATTAATAAATTTAATAATTTTATTTTTTAAAATAAAAATATAAATTTTTAAAAATATTCATCATTTAATGTATTGAAAAAAAAGATAAAAATTAATTATAAAAAAATAATAATATTAAAATTGATGTTAAAATATTATATAATTTAAAATAAAATAATTTTTTTAAAAATATTTTATAATTTAAAATGAAGAGAGTAGCACGTCTGTATGTATATTTAATCATCGATTTTTTATTTTCCGTAGGGGGGAAATTGCTGGGGACACTGGCCTGGTGGATTCAGGATTTTTATTTGAAGACCTGGCGAGTATCAGTAATAGGATCATTATATCAGTGGATCCCATCACCCTTGTTTCTGATCTGTGCTTTCGACTTCAAACTTCTCGCCGATTTCACGTACTGTCCTGTCCAGTGAGATAATGGAGCCTCAACCTTTAAAGCTTCGATGCCAGAGGATTGGCTGCGATACCATGTTCACTGAGGACGATAACCCTGAGGGTTCCTGTCAATACCATGAATCTGTACGCAATCACTCGTCCTCTCCCTCTCTATCTCCATCCACCTCTTATGTTTCACCGTCTCTGCTTTTTGCTTACCTTTACCTTGATGCATAGTTGACTGTGATGGGTTGGGTGATTCTTGATATACCGATTGGATTATGTTGTCTTTATGACTCGAAAAGAGTATCTTGCGTGTTGGAAGTCCTAATGTTGGATGTTTAGGGTTTAAGATTATTGCTTTTCAGCTCTAAAACTAGATCACTAATGAGTTTTGTTTTGTGAAGCTGTTTATCTAAAAATGTTGACTTGGGCTAATTACTGATGCGAAACCAACTTGATTTGGTTGCATACATGCCTGCTGTGTCAGACTGTGATTTGCTTCTTTTCGCTGGATTTTCACCGTTAGATTGTAATGTGAAGTTTGTGAGCTTCGAGTAAGCATTCTCTCCATGTTTATAACAACATCCTGCTAAAGAGAACGGAGGGAGAGAGGGAACAGAATTAATATTTATGTTATGAGTGTAAAGTACTTGGGGCTAACAGTAGTTCACACTTCGCAGAATAGTTCAATGATTTTGAAAAATTCTGACTAAAAAATTATGGCTCTGAATCTGGGAGGTGTACTAATTTAGCCATCCTTTTTCTAGAAACAGATCCAGAGATAAATTAAGATTGTAAATTTGGATTTTAGCTATGGCCAACGTAAGGTTTATTTTTCTACCGGGTATTTTATCATTTCATGAGGAATACATCCAGCACTCATGAACCTTGATATAATTTTGCTGGCTTCTTAAGGTCATTTAAGGTTTCACTGGTCTCTGTTGTAGTGGTATATGGATGAATCTTGTGAAGTTGGTCCCAATTGTGTTCTTCCTGATTCAGTCTAATAATTATTCACATAACGTTGAGATTAAATATCTATGAAATAGTTCAATTAAAGTTCCGCCTATGCTTTTTGAAGCTTATGGTATTTCAGTTAATCCTCCAGATTTTTTTTTTCCGAATCGCTATGGGAATAATTTGCACACAGTTATGAATTAAAGGGCACAAATAACAATACCCTTCGTGTTTTGAGCAAGAACCCATGGTGTCATGAAATAACATAAGAGCCCGTGAAGCTTGAAAATTTTAGACCTATATCTTAATCCCAAGGATAATGGAGAGCTCCTGAGTATATATTATAGGTGAGAACGCTTGGAGATTCGATGGTGATATGATTTTCTGGTACTTCTTATTTTCACACAAGCCTAATTTAGGACTTTCTTTTATAGGTGACCCTGTATTTTTGTCTTCTGGTGAATAATTCTATGACTATGGGGATATATCTGATCATGATGTGTAATTTAAGATTTGTTTGTTTGACTTCTATTATGGATGGTTCTTTTTTATTTTGTTGAACTTTCTTAACTCTTTAGTACAGTTCTCAAACTGAACCATGGTGTTGCCCCCATATGGACTAGAGGTTGTCAAGGTTACTATCGAAGAGTCTCTCTGGCCCACCTTAGCCTACGTCATGTATTTATTGCTGAATTTGTGATGGATTGTTTGCTTTATGTGAATTTTGTTTGAATCAGTTGTAATTCTCATGTAATAGAATAATGTCATTTACCATATTCTGAAACTGACCATGCGAATGTACCTGTTAAACTTCTTGTTCTGCATAAATATTGTCTTTTCTCTCAAATTTTATTTTACTTTTATTTTTTGAGTTCTGCAAAAACTAATTCTTTCCAGGTATGTGAACCCATGTAACTGGACAAAACTTCATGAATTCCTTTATTGATTGTCCAGGTTTTTGACCTAGTGTAACTGGACAATTTCATGAAGTCATTTATTGTTGTCTTTCTTGATAGACATTGTGCACATTGGCTTGCGTTTGTTTTTATGCATGTTCATTTTCTGAGCTCTCATAACAACATTATGTTTTTCAATATCATCGGTAATTCATTCCTTATGAACTGAATGAAGTTAACTGCATTCATTGTTTTATTCTTTTTGTTGATTTATACCATGGCATCCTTTCTGAATTTGCTGACCATTCTTCATCTGGCATGTTTGGGATTTGGGTTTGATGGTCGGCATCTTGGCTTCTTCAGGGAGTAAGTCCATGCATTTTCATTTAACTCTCCACCAGTGTTCTTTTTAATTTGTATTTTCCAGTATTGATTTCTTATTTAAATTTGCAATTGCTTAAACTTTACTTTTTAGCCTATATTTCATGATGGTATGAAAGAATGGAGTTGTTGCAAGAGAAGAAGTCATGATTTTAGCTTGTTTTTAGCGATTCCAGGGTGAGTAATATTTTTCTTCCATTTCTTTCCTCTCTTTTTGTGAATATGAAAGTTTTATTTGCTGTGAACTGATCATTTTGGAAGAGTTAACCTTATTTTAAGGAATACCTAAATGTAGATCATTGTTAAGTCTCTAACATTAAGAAATCAAAATTGTAAAATCAAGTACTTGGAGTATGGAAATCGCAAGCAACAAATGTGACATCTAATATATTGTATTTGCCTGGCTAGATTGACTTTATAATTTTACATCTATTTTTAAGTCAGTGACCCACTGATACCTGCTCCCTTTGCTGATTAAAATAAATTCTTAGAGGCTGATTCATACATTATGGGCGCTTTTGGTAGCAATTATTGCTTACTGGGGAAAATATTGATACGAGTCTCTAACTTCAAGATTAATGGAGAGGAGTTAGAAGGGGTCCGCCAAGTTATAATTCCATAGAAAATTTATCTCATGTTTTTCCAATTGAATGTGAACCTCTGTACTCTTTGGCACGTCCTGGACTCTGAGGCTGATTTTACATTTGCTTTCAAATTTATATCCACCAAACCAGAACAGTAATATATCTAATATTCTGCACTGAAGACAGGCAGAGGATGGGTTTTCGTAAATAAAATTTCATTGTACAAGTGATGCAACAGCTTATTATGCTGACATCAACATACTGGGAATCCGAAATATTTCCGTTCACCCAACTTTTTGCATACTTGGAACTTATGTTCAATATATTTGATGCTTTTAGCGTCTGTTGACCACAGTTTTCTTTGTTAAGGTGCAAGACAGGAAAACACACAACAGAGAAGCAAGTATTTACAGAGCCTAAAAAGAATGCTGTCTCTGCTCCAGCTCCAGCGCCAGCTTCAACTACCAATGTATCATCAAAAGATTCTTGTTTCCGGTGTCGACAGGGCTTCTTTTGCTCAGATCATGGTATACTTGTTTATCTGTTATTAGCTAAATGCAGTAATATACCTTCCTACCACTCCTTTATTATTTCATTTTGCATCTTTGTCTACCACTTATGCATCGTTTTCATTCAGTTACTTTTTTTTTCCCTCTTAAATGTAGTTCCCTTGTCAAGCTTCTTGAGCCAGTTTCCTGTGTTCTGTTTGTTAGGTTCTCAAAGCAAACCTTTGAATCCTGCTGTTAATGCCTCTTCTGAAAGCAAAGCAAGTGTTGTTCCGAAACAACCTAAGAAGATAGTTGATATAAATGAAACCCAGATATGCAAAAATCAAGGATGTGGTAAACCTTTCAAGGAAAAGGATAATCATGAGACTGCATGCAGCTACCATCCCGGTCCTCCTGTTTTTCATGACCGGTTGAGAGGGGTAGGCATTGGATAATTTACTGCATATTTCAGTTTTGCTTATATTACCGTTTGAATTATGCTTGTGGTTCTTTAGAACTAAACCCTCCTCTTTTTTTTTATTCCATGTGATTTTGCAGTGGAAGTGCTGTGACATTCATGTCAAAGAATTTGATGAATTCATGAGTATTCCTCCATGTGCAAAGGGATGGCATAATGCTGATCCGGAGTCCTGATCCATGAAGAAACCGAAGGTTTTATTTTTTCCTTTTATTTATTTCCTTATTCAAATGAAAGGGGAAAAGGTTTTGTGAATTGACTCAATAGTCAATACTGGCGTCATGTGCTGTAATAATTTAAATTATTGCTCTTTGGAGCCAGTCAGCGACTGTAGTCAATTTGCTGAGGAGTTCGTAGGAAACAACTTTCTGAGATGACGATTCAAACTGCTATGTTTTGCTTGACTATCACCATTTTCTTTTGCATTGCATTTGAGTTTTAACTTGTCTGATTTGTTTGGACAGGGTTTCATAGTCTCCATGGAAAATAGTGTCAATATGTATATAATATATAATAAAATCTTTAATAAGCTATTATTTGTATAATCTATACGCAGAAAAATGTTTCTATTGGAAAGTGTAAATTTTGAGCTCTCTGTATTTCTATATCTCCGGCCCAGTGGTTATTATTTAATTAATCAATCCAATCGATATTATATATATTCTAAAATTTCAATCACTAGCACCATTATTTTACAATTGATGTCAGTTTTTGTATTTTAAAAAAAAATCTTCTCGTTTTTCTGATTTGCGGTCGTGCTTGGATGACATCTTAAATGTCCGTTGCAATTTACAATGGATAGGGGTAATTTCAATTCTAGTCAATATTAAAATTTATAGGAACTTGTACTATTTCTAGGTTAAAAGTATAGCTCAGCTTAAATTTGTATGATTAGCGTTACTTTTTAAATTTATATTTTTTTCATTAAAAAATATAATATTTTTTGAACGATTAAATGTTAAAATAAGTAAGGTATTTTTAACATTTTAAGATATAATTGTTGTGCTTTTTTCAAAAGTGATGTTAATAAATAGATCACTTTATATTTATTTTAAAATAAAACACTCTATTAAATAGAAGTAAATATAAAAAAATGACGTGAATTGACAATAATTAATTATTTTGTTGAAGGGTAAAATTTAATTAAAAATATATTATAATTTTTAATTTAGAGTTTAGATTTACATTATACATGAAGATACACACACAATATAATATAAAAATTAAAACTGCTATAATTTTCAAGTTTCACTTGGCTTTGTATCTGAAAATAAAAATTCATAGAAAAAGTATGCAGCGTAAGGCAAACAGCCCAATTCAGAAAGATGAACAATGATTAAATACTTCTACCACCTGCCTCGCCCCTGTATTTGTAAAAAAAAAGAATGACAGAAAAGTTTAAAAAGAATTAATTAATTTAAGTTAAATTTTATGTGTCAACTCGAAAAGATGAACAATGATTAAATACTACTACTACCTGCCTCGCCCTTTTATTTGTAAAAAAGGAGAATGACAGAAAAGTTTGAGAATGATTAATCAATTCAAGTTAAATTTTAAATATTAAATTTTAAAAATTTATAAATTAATATTTTAATTTTATAATTTTATTGTAATGAATTTATAATTTATATTTTAAATTTTAATAAAAAAATAATTTTATTATTCTTTAATAAGGTTAAAATTTAAAAAATAAGTTACAAATTCATCACAATACAATTGCAAAATTAAAAGATTAAGTTGTAAATTTTTAAAGTTTGACATTTAAAATCTAATTTAAATTAATTAATCTTTTTAGGACTTCTGTCATTCTCTCATTTGTAAAAAGCCATAATAAATTAAATTAAACGAAAAAAGGTATTCAAAACTTAGTCAAACTACATAAATCGATCAAAATTGATTATATATAAGATTTAATTTATTTTTTTTAACAAAATTGATTAATTTGATTCAGCTCAAATTGAAACTTGAACCAAATTGAACCAAGTCTAATTATATTTATTTTATATATTTTTATAAATTTGTCTAAACTTTTCTCTTTCCCAAAATTAGTTATCTATAAATTACTAGTTAAAAATATTACAATTAGTTAAATATTTTCTATAATCTTTTATGACAATTTCTTAATTTTATAATCAAGTGTTTTAAGAATAACATAATAGTTTTTAATAGCTAAAAGTGCTAAATAATTGTTAAATCTTTTTTGTTACCAGGAGATTTTTTTTTTCATTGAAAATATTAATTATTAGTTAAAAATTAATAGTAATTATTCACACACATATATACTGATCATGACAAATATATACAAGAACTCAAATTTGATCCAAACATAAACTGAACTAAATCAAACCACTCAAAAACCAAACCAAATTGAAATAGTTGAAATACATTATAATGATATTAGTCGGACTTTCAGCTAATGATCACGGCATAAGCAAAAATAGTTGAAATAGTGGCGCTCCGTTGATATGCTGCTGAAATGTAGCGTGACATGACCAAAGAGCATGAAGGCTACCAGTACCACACATTGCATGATCTTCCGATGACTACTCACTCGTCATATAAGGTGTTTGAGATATTGTTCATGTAAAGCAACATCGCATTTATACTTTTCCATTATTTGGGCCAAACCAATATCGACGATAAACTATCAAGTTTTATGTTTTGAATCATTTACAAATGCCCAAGTCCTACCAATCATTCCAGTGTCCTCTCCCCCCCCGCCCCCCCCCCCCCCAAAAAAAAAAAAAAAACACCAAAAAGGTTGAGTCGTCGAGATGGGAGAGGATCAGAGGGTGAAGTATGTACCTGATGAAACCAGTCAAGGGAAGGAAAATAAAGTTTCAGTATACGGAGCAACGCGCCCCAAATGACAGCGATGATCGTGACAATTACGGTATTCTAGCAGTTCTCCTTTGTCACTCCATTTTGAGAATCCTATTTTTTTCATCAATGGTAATAAGATGACCTTCAGTGGGGCACAATGGCCAAATGCAAGCCTTCAATTCCATAAGAGGAATGGAGAAAAACTTAATCCAGGAGGATTTCACTCCACATTTTCTCAACATCCATACATTCTCATGACTCTCCCCTCAAATTCAGTTAAAGCAAGGCATCCTCCAACTTCTCCCAAAGTAAACCTTCCTAAGTCCACATCATTGGGCTTGGATACTTGTCGTATAGTCTTTGTTTCCACATCAAACGCAATGATTTTTGCTTCAGGTTGCGGTGGTCCACATTGCCTGCCTATCCAATGAATTGCACCGTTCATGACTGATTCAGCGACTTAAAAACTGTATAGGTCGATATTTGAGATCAAGTTTTTCCCATGAATCCGTTCGCAGAGAGAAGACCTCGAAGCTTGTACTTCGTGGGTCCGAGCGGCCTGGTGGAAGCACAAGTATGTGGTCGTCACAGGATTCATGATAACAAAAGTCGCGTTGCTGTCTCTGGATCGCAGTTGCGGAGCAGTTGTGTAAAGGATTCGATGGGCATCTCATTGAGAAGATCTTCCAAAATGCAATTTGGCGAAATTAGGATCAGAGATGAGTGAGAGCCATGACTTGGACACGCACTTCAAACGCAGGAGAGATTTGACGGATGAGCCGAGAAGGATTTCCAGTTTCAAAGCTTGAGAAAGATTTTCCATGGCCGCACCGGATAAAGAGATTAGTGAAAACGCAATACGCGAGCTGATCGGAAAAAGGACGAAGAGGAGCGCTCGCATTAGAATCTAAAGCCGCTTAATTTGTTGAAACGAAAATCATGCCCCTTTTTTATGAATCCTGTTTTCCTCTCTAATCAAACCATATTTTAGTTTTAATCTTACAGTTTCAACGTTTCATTAGTATTATAATTCCTTTTATTATATTTATTATAAAATGTTTACATTTATGGTAATTGTGTAAATTTGACTGTGAACTTTTTTTCAAGAGCACTGGAAGTAATGAAAGGGTTTTTGTTTGAGTGCAAGAAATATAAGTGCAAGGAATTTAGCTTGGGTGCAAGAAAAATGACTTGGGTGTAAGGCTTTTAATTTAAAATGCACGTATTATGGCTTGGGTGCAAGAGATCTGATTTAAAATGCAAAGTTTTTAATTTAGTCATTTTCATGTAATTCATAATTGTTTTTATGTAATTTAGAAGCACTGACAATGAGGTATCACTCTTTATGTGTTTAATTTATGTATAGTCCATTAAATATTACATGTAAATTATTTCTCAAGCAAGCTCGTGAATTTCTTCATATATTGATTTACATATAATCTATAATCATTTTCATGTAATTCAACAGCATTAACAGGGCCATGCTCTGTGTATGTTTGACTTACATGTAATTTTTAAATCATTTCTTAATCATGCTCGTGAATTTTTTTCACATATTAATTTGCATGTAATTCATAATTCTTGTTATATAATTTTAAGGGATTGACAGGGACATGCTCTTTATATATTTGATTTATATGTAATTTGTTAAAGATTCATGTAAATTATTCTTCAAACATATTCAGGAATTTCTTTCCATATTGATTTACATGTAATTCTTAATCATTTTCATGTAATTATAAAGTGGATGCTCTTTATTTATTTGATCTATATGTAATTTACAAGATATTATATATAACCGTTCAAGTTAGAAGTTTTGTACCTTAAGTTAGAACACATGCACCTTAAGTCAGGTCTCTTACACCCAAATTAAAAATCTTATATCCTAAGCCAGAACACATGTACCTTAAATTAAAAGATGCCTTACACCCTAAATCAAAAGCTTAACATCTTAAGCTAAAATCATTGCACCATTTGTTTGTTGAGTTTAGATGTAATCATCAATAATTACATGTAATTAGTTCAACTATTAAAAGAGTGGCCAGAGGTCGTCAAAGCTCCGACTAAATTGTGTGCCTTTTTGTAAATTTCTTTTTATTTAGCATAAAGGGACATTTTAATCTTTTAACCAAATTTTTGCATGAAAAAAATTAATAAGTTTGGCCCTTCAAACTACTTTGATCCTTGAGCACAATTATGATTTCAATCAAGTCTTTTCTAGCAGTTTTTTCGTAATAATATAAGAAGCAATACAGTATATACTAGTATAAGATTGTTATTTTCAATTTAATACTTAACTATTTTCTTTTTTTTATTTTTCTCTTATCAATTTACAGAAAAGGGAAAAATTATTTCTTCAATTTTTCTGTTCTCTATCTTCCATTTTCTTTTCTTTTCTTGTCTTTCAATTTTTTTCTCCATGTATAAATTTCGTCGCTTTTAAATGTTATTAATTGATTAACATAATCTAGATTATCACCACAAACAACGTCCCAGAATATGGCAACCCAAAGAATTTCAGTTAGAAAAAGAATCGCAGAATTGTCGAAGTAGAAGACATGAAGATCCGCCGCATGCTTTGGCTCCTCCT